GGCTCTGACCACACCGGTGTGGGGTACGGGTGGGCACATGAGGATCTCTCAGAGGGGCAACACGGAGCTGGGCAAGGTCCCCCCAGGAAGCACGGAATAAGGAGGGTGTGGAGCTGATGGAGAGGGGGGATCAGCCGTGGCGTGGCGATGCCCAGGCACAGGCTGCTCTCCTCACGCCAGGATGCTGCAGGGAGCTCACGGGGTCTGTAATGAGCAAGAGTGACTTGTTAGCACTGAATTAAGAGGCTTGGCGGAAGGGAGCGCACGGGTGACACAAGCTGCGTGGGGCAGGCGGGAGCTGAGCAATAGCAGCTGGAATTCCCAGCAATCTGGTAAGCGCAGCTCAGCCCCGCACTCCCAGCTCACTGAGATCGGCCTCCGACAGCCCCTGACAGTTGGTATTAATCACGCACATCGCCCCAACACAACTCTTTACTGGCCATCAATTTCCCGTGGGTTTTAAAACTAAAAAACAAAGACAAAACCGCGTCGTTTGGCCGCCACTGAGAAGCACATTAAGGGGCTGTCAGCTTCTCGCCATGCACCCTGCATCACTCTTTAAGCACATGAGAAGTTCATTATCCCTGGAGCTCTGGCAGCCATGGGGATGCTGGGGTAGGGAGCGTCGCGAAGGTGCTCCTGCTGTCAGACACGCCTGGTGGATCCCTGGGGCCCTCCCAGCTGCCCGAAACGGGAGCCAGAGGTCCTGGGCACGGCGGAGGCATGGCTGCAGCGGGGGCTCTGGGCTTGGCTGGGGCAGGACCAGGCACTCCTGGTTGCAGCGCTTGGCTGGACCGACTTTCCCGATGGTCCCTGCAAGCCCGCTGTGGTGACGAGTTCTTTCCTGGGCTGCTGCGACATCCCCTGACAGCCTGACACTACGTTTGCCCGCCTGTGGGTGCTCCCTGACAGCGTGAGCCGTACTCTCTGGTTTGGTGACAGCCCCGGCAGCCCAATACCACGCTTGCCATAGTTTGCTGATGCTCCCTAGCAACCTGACACTGCGCTCTCTTTAACATGCGACCATGTAAAAAAGCAACAGCTCGTTTGATTTATGATACTTCAGAACAACTAAGATTCAATTGCTCCGCACGTCCCTGGCTCTGATTACCTCCTAAATGAGATAAACTGATGGCAATTTATCCCCAGACCTCACCAACTTTCCCAGGATGCTAACCTGAGACGCTCGTGCCCTGCACACGCAGGCGACGGGCTGGGCGCAGCCGAAGCAGCCTGGCCTCAGCCCAAGTTGTCTGTTCCTCTGCACTCCCCCGCTGCTGCTCACGCCTGGGAGAGATGCTCCTGGCAGGAGGATTTGGGGGGTCCCAGCAGTGGTGCTCCCCACATCGGGTGAGCTTGTGGAGAGCAGAACCGGACACTGGGCTGTCCCCCACACTCCTCCCATAACAGTGTAGCCCCCACAGCGGGTTGAGCACCACAAGGGATGGCAGCTCTACTGCAGAGCACGGCAGCCCAGCAGTCTCTACAGAGATTTTCACACTTTCACCACATTGACTATGCAAAAGCGATGTACTGGGTCTGGCTGAGCCAGAACTGGTGTTCCCCTATAGCAGCCCCCATGGTGCTGTGTTTTATGCTGGGAGCTGGCAGGGTGTTGGCAGCACCCTGGTGTTGTGGCTGCTGCTGAGCAGTGCTTACACAGCACCAAGGATCTTTCCAACATTTTCCCCCTGCAGTGGGACGGGGTGGGCAAGATCTTGGGAGGGGACACAACCAGGACAGCTGACCCCAACTGATCAAAGGATATTCCAGACCATAGGATGTCTGCTCAGTATAAAGCTGGGAAAAAGGAGGAAAATGGGGTGGGGATCACTCTTGGTCCTCTGAGGCAACCACTACACGTATCAGAGCCCTGCTGCCTGAGAAGGCCCGACAGCGCCTGGGAATTAATGGGAAGTAGAGAGTAAATCTGTTTTTGTTTTGCTTCCTTGTGTGAGGACCTTTGCTTTGTTTTGCTTACATTAAAACTGCTTTTGTTTTACCCACAAAAGTTGGGTTTTTTTCCTATCTTCCATCAGACATATGGTGGACAGGGGATCATCCATCTGAAAAGGAAAGCATGATTCAGCTCTGCAATCTGTACTGAGCACAGGGCTGTACAAGGACCCTTTCTAGACTGAGATCACCCCCTCTCCCCAAAATGGGGTGTCCCACTCTTTGCTACCAGAACACGGGACTGACTGCAGCGGGACCAAGCTGCGAAGCTCCAAGTGCAGACACAGAGCATGGCAACGCATGAGGATGGCCAAACTCACCCAGACTTTGCCATTGGATCAGTTTTCTAATACAGTAGAAGACATAAAAAATACATACAGTTTTTGAAAAGCCAGGCAAACAGCCAGAAAACCCATTATACAATACCCCATGGGGAAGATACTGGGTGGCACCACTCTGACCCAGTGCAAGCCTGGGAGCAGCAGGCTCTGGCCACCTCTGCCCAACAACAGCACCGAGTGGATATGGCACTGACTGCCCAACTGACGAAGGCCACGGGGACTTGGAAAGATGGGGTTCGAGCTGGAGACAAGGGGGTCAGCTTGCTCATGTGATTTACAGATGCCCCCTCCGCCCTGCCATGCCTCTCCTGGCTCTGCCGTGCTCTCCTAACCCCTTGCAGGGTGTCCGCGCCACTCCCTTCCTGCTGCTGCACCGGGTGATCCACAACCGCATGTCTCCCAGCACTGGCAGTACTGCGGATCACCGCGGAGGGTTTTTTTCCTGCTCCTGGTTCTGGTGCCAGAGGCTTCCGGCAGCAGGAGCAGCAACTGTGTGCAAGGTCTGTGCAGTGACAAATGAAGTTTGGTAGCTGACACTTCACTGGCAAATGAAGTAACATGTTGATAAATGTGAAGTAATGCACATTGTAGGAAAAAATTACATTACTCCACCACCTGACAGGGCTCTAAATTAACTGTATGAACCCAAGACAGGACCCAGATATCACTGCAGACAGCAGAAGACCTCTGCCCAGCACATCACCAGGGTCAAGGGCCAGGGCAGGGAGTAACAGAAAATGCCCTCATACACATGACATGGTACCACGTTGTCACTGTGTGCAGCTTTGGTCACTCCACCTTCCAAGGATCCTGCCAAACAGGGCAGGACAGCAACAGTGAGCATGTGTCTGAAAAAACTCACTAAGAAATTAGAGAAAAATTGGGATGGCTCAAATATTCATGGACTGAGCATCCGAGGAGGAGGGTGACAGTCACCTGGTCTCCCCACACAGATGCAGAGGGCAGGGAATTCTGCCACGGGCCAGATCACACATGTCTTGTGGAAAAGTAACTCATTTGATTTTAAGACTTTGAGCAGTGGTTAGATCACATTACTACTTCATAAAAGTATTCCCACATTTTGTTACCTTTTCAGCTAAGAAATTGTGTTCAGTTTTGTGTAACTTGAGCCCCTGTACCTTCTCACATCCTCATGTTGAAGAGCCTTGCAGGACCAGATGTTTTTCTCTCTAAGTACTGAAAACATCAGTCCTTTGCTTCTCAATCTTGATTCTGGTAAGGCAAATACCTTCATGTCCACATCATAAATACGTTCATCAGACCCACATCAGTTTTGAGACCTTCTTTACTCTCTTGGAGTATTATTTACAGGATGGGACACATCACTTTAGCATGCGCTTTCTTAGTCACACATGTAGGTGCAAAATCGTTCTACTCTTTGGTATCCCACTTTTCAAACATATAAAGAATACTTGTCTCTATTTTGCTGAAGCACTGGATTGAGAACTGCAAACTGAGACCTGATGCGCAGGGAAGTAACGTGTCTGAAGAGTCAACATACACACATCGCTAAGAACACAGCAGTTGCTTAACAAAATGTAAACACAGATAATAATTCTTGGTTTCCATGAGACATCCAGTGTGTATTATAGCCACAAATGATGCTCAAGATGCCTAAATCACCCATTGCAAAGGGGAATTCTTTCCTAAACACAGTGGTTTTCAGCTGAAGATAACTACAATGGAAAAGACTGAACAACAGAACTGCCACACTCCTCTGCAGATCATCACCATAATGTTTCCAAGAGTGAGAACTCACAAAGAGTTGTTCTGCCATGGGAAACCTGGGCTGCAGGTCTACAGGCTGATCTGTGATTTGGAGAAAGACGCCAGGACAGTTGCAACATGCTTTAGGTACAGCCTAAAACGTTCTGGTTTGGTTTACAGTAGCCATTACTTTCAAACACTTGTACTTAACCCCTCTCCCCCTGCCTTCAGACATCTGAAGTAAATCTTTATTTTGGTTTATTACAAAAGCTCATTGAGTTCTGTGGGACAGGATGACCTAGGATAAAGTCAGATCTTAAAGACTGAGGATCACTTCTTCCACAGAAACTAACCATGATCCAGGCTCTGGAGAACGTGGTTGCCAGGATAATCTTTACCTGGACAAATCTGGATGACTTTTCACAGCAAAATGCAGCTCCCTATGCCTCGCGGCTCCCTGCCAAGTTTTGGGTCCCTCTTCAGAAACCGAAGACACACCCAGATTTCTCAACATAGCATAGGCAAAGCAACGTGTATGTCTTCAACTGGTTTCCTGAAGTAGATAAACTTTTCCAAAGGACCCTCAGCTTGAGGCAGATGGCCAGCACAGGTCTTTTAAATGATAGAAGTTTTTCAGATTTACAAGACAACAGAAATAGGTTATTTCTTGCAGTGGAAAGTGTCTGCACACCTTAAGCATAGTTAAGCATGCCTTAACTATGTGGTGCACTCTCAGCTCTGCTAATACAGTTCATAATTATTACCACTAATAGTATGTGCAGTCACGGGCATGATAGCAGCCCTGCTTCCACTGCACGTGAGGAATCAAGGGCAGATCAAGAGGAGCTGGTTGCTCCTTTCCACCCAAGCACAACCTGGCTCAGACAAGGACCACTCCAAGCCCCATGGCAGGGCTCCTGGCTGCCCCATGCTGTGAACTGGCAGAGCTGCCCCCCAGGCAGAAACCTTTCCTACCTTCTGCTGCCGTGCTGGGGCCGTCAGGCCGAGTTGTCCCTGTGCTCTTTTTCCTGCGATGCTTCTTTCTGTTCGCATGTGGCGATGGAGGCGGCTCCAGCTTCGGGCTGGCAGCACTGGAAATGTTCGGGCTGGAGCTGAGAGAATCGGCAGTACCGTTAGCTGGGAACAAAGATAAAGAAAGTAATGTACAGCAAGACAGTGACAGTCTGCTCTAGAAAGAGACAACCAAGTGCCCTGGAGACAGCCCTGGTGCTCCGCCTGGCTCAAAACCCATGGCCCCAGGAGATGGGACAGCACCTGAGCTCAGCCCCATGCATGGGGAAGCTCCAACGCCCGCTGGGTCTCAGAGCTGAAAGGCTCCTTGGGCAGGGTCAGGCTGGACACACTCTGCACTGGAATTCATCCGGGATGATCACACAGAGACAGCGCTGGCATCTGCGTAGCTGGGACAAGCGCAGTGGCATCACTGGGGGCAGCCTAACGCACCGACCCCTCAGCACACATCTCTGTGTGTACTGCTCTGCGTCAGTGCCCTCACAGGGCAACGTGTGCATTTTGGGAAGGGACGGTCCCAGGAGGTGCCTCTAGGCCCCCCAAGGTGCAGAGCCAGGTCCCGGGATCTGCAGTGCCACTGCAGAAGTATCGATCCCCCCCGGCACCGCTCTGCCAGACGAGGTGACTGGGGTTGCCACACTTAGGAACCTAAGCATGATGGTCTCAATAGGCTTCCGATACGGAGCTGAAGAAGCTGCATCCCCAGCAGCAACGCACCAAATTTATCCTCAATCATACTGTTCCTTACAATTAATAGCAGAATTAGAAACAATCAGGGAGCTGCCTAATTACTGTCAATTAGAGCGCGCTAATCAAGCTCCGATCACACACACACACGCTGCCGCTGCACTCACCATTAAATGTCAAATTTCATTAGAGACCAGCAACAAAATCAAAAGCCTGACATTCAATTTCAGCAGCACACACAGCGCAGGCTTCCAATCAGCATAAAAATGCAGACTCCGGGGAAGGCAACGAGGCGCAGGAGCCCTCGCTGCACTGTTAACCCTCTCCGAAATACACTCCTGCCTCTCCAGTGTCCACCCACCCACAGGGCACGTATGGCAGCTCCACTTCCAGCCCGCTTCTGTCCTGGGCAGCTTGTCATCCTCTTTGCAACAACCCAGTGTCTCCCATCAAGCCCTAACCTCCAATTTCCATGTTTCATGGCACCTGAAATTAAGCAAGCAATCATGATGTTTTAACAAGGGCAGCACCCTTCAGCAGTGGGGACTGCCTGGGACTTGGCAGGCCCTTCTCCTGCACCAAGCCTAGCCTTTGCTCTCCCATTTCAGCCTGGTTCGGTCAGACAGGCTCTGGGGGCTTGGGCTGGACCTGTGTGGCAAGACAAACATCCAACAGAGGGATGGAGAGGTTCTGTGCGCAGCCAGCATCCCCCTCGCCAGGCTGGGAGAGGACGCGGCAATCAGAGCTCTTCTACCTCTGGTTTCTACTACGTTTGACACACACAAGTAGGGTGTTTCTGCTGCTATTTATCCACAGGGAAATAGTTCACCCTTGACAATTAAGAGAGATAAATTAATAAAATCAGACTCAAGTTTTATAAATATAAATTACTGATACTGTTCAGGACTGCACTTAGAGCAGGTGTGAGGCACCTTCATCTCCCAGCCTGGATGTCGCAGGGGACCTGAACTTTCTCATCTGAGGCTACACATGGTGCATCCAGCCTACCTCTGCTGCCCACCTGCTCACCAGGATGCCTCCCGGGCCAAACCACGCACCACCGGCATCCTGCCCCCCTCCAGGCTCAGCATGAGGCTTCGTGCATTTCTGCAGCTCCCGCCAACGCGCCCGCGGGCTGCGGTGAGCCCGCAGTGGTGAACGGTGAGCCTCTGCTCCACGGAGATCACCCACATTCCTGCTCCTCATGCTGCACAGTAGCTAAAGCCACAGAGCTGGGGGCTTCCAGGGCCCCTGGTGGGATGGAACTGCAATGGGGCGGGGGCAGAATGTGAAACACACTCCCTCCACAAGATTAGGTATTGCTTGCTCTCCCTCTTTCCCCAGCAGGACAGAAGGGAGCTTCTCTGACCCACCCAAGGACTTCCAGATCCCCACCTCACTGTGGGAATGCGTGGGACCTCCTGGTTCCTCCCTCCAAACTTAGGGGCAGCCCCTGGGTGGGCCGCAGACATCCTTCCATAGAGGACAAACAAAAAATGTGCCAAAGCACATTGACAAGAGCCGTCCCGCCCCTCTTCCATGTGCTCTCTGGGGCACAACTGAAGGAGGCAGCCCATCCCCAGGAGCCAGGAGGTCAGCCTGCACCCTCTGTTCGCGTCTGCAAGTCTGTTCTGAGCAGAGAAATATTCCTCCCCTGGCCCTGCCATTCAGAGCGGGGAACAGAGCACGAAACTCAGACCCTGGCTCCCCAGAGGTGACGGCACATCTGGGGTTCAGGTGCGGGCGCGCGGCACACCGACTTTGGCTCAGCTCAGCCCCACAGCGGAGGGGCAGATGTGCTGCTTGGCTTGGGATGCCTGCTCTCCTCCAAAAAGCCATCACCTTTGTGACGCTGAGAACCTGCTGCTTCTGCCAGCAGCCCAGCGTGTGCGTAGCCCAGGGCTGCTCCAGCCCGTGGGGATGGGAGCCCTGGGAGCTGCTCACCACCTCCCTAGGGCCAGAGCTTTGCTCCAGGAGCTTGGCCTGCGCCAGCCCTTCCCTGACAGCCCTGCGTGGTTCTCTGGACAGCAGACAAGATGCTTAGAGGTATGAAATAGCTGCTTTCCCTGCCAGCACAGCAGTGATGGACTGTGAGGCTGCTCCAGGAGGCCCCCAGAGCAGCCGAGCCAGTCGCCTTTAGCCATAGCCGGCCAAGTGACGTGTCTGTGGACTACCACTAACACAGGGCAGGGCAAGGCAGGGCTGACCCACAGGGCTCGAGGTGCAGTGGGATCTGAGAGCAGATAAGCAGCTTGAGACACACAGTTAGCACCGAGCCAACATCTCATCCCTCCACGTCCCGGGGAGAAGCAGCAGCATCTCTGCTCTCGTTTTGTGTCAGCCTCCAGGTTATGTTCCATCAAGAGGTAACTGCTTGTTCTGGTGCAACACTCAGGCCAGAGCTGGGGCAGGCAGAACACACAGTGTGGCCACACCAGGCCCTAGGCTCTGCAGCAGCGCTGCTGGGATGAGGACGAGACTTGCCATGATGGTTCCTGAGGACGGAGACCATCCAGGCAGACACCTGCTGACCAGAAAGGCCGCACTGCAAAATTCAGCCAGCACAGGGGTAAAATTCAGCACAAGGTCGTGCTGGGCAGCCGGCATGCTCGGCTCCTGCTGCCTGCACCCATATCTCCTGCGGGCAGGGCGAGGTGCTGCCTGCGGTGGGGGCTCCCCTCTCCCCTAGCAGACGCCCCCGTGTCCAAAGCAGCGCGTGGAGCAGCAGTTCCCCCGCCCTCGCACCCCGCTTCCTCCGGCGCTGGGAGAAGCAGAGACTGTCCCGCTGCACCCTGTGTCCGAGGCGAAGGGGAAGGGGGGCCGCCGGCACATTAATGCTCAGAGCTGCGCCCTTCCGCTCCCGTCGCCTGCGCTGCCCCATCAGCAGTAACAGTCTGATTAATTCGCTTCCAGCAGGGAGCTGATGGGGCCAATGATGGAGCCGCTGCATCAGGCGCGCTGAAATTGATAGTTTTTCACAGTTACAAATGAGGAGCCTCCTCAGCTGCAAATGGCGCCCGCACAGTCGGACTCCGGTAATGATCATAAAGAGGCTCTCTTTAAACTGCGAAAGCCCCTGGGACCGAGCGGGGGGGCGGCTGCCGCGCTAATGAGAACTACAAGGGGCGAGCAGGCATGGAAATGGCTCCTCCACTCTTGATGTGCATTTAACTGCTTTTTTAGTGCGGCGGCAGAGCCAGGAACGAAGGAGTGATGAATGCAGCACAAAAGCATTTATTTTCCAATTCGGCAAAGTGGCTACGTTGGGAAATGTATGAATTATTTTAATTCACTCAACTGTCCTGAAACATCACAGAGAGCGAGTGAGCGTGGGGGGAGGGGGCGGGCCGTGCTCAGTGTGTGCTCCAGAGACAGGAATTACTCCTATTCGTTTAACTGCCCCAAAATCTGGGAGCTGGGGGTGCTGACAAGGAGCAGAGATGGGGTAAAGCAGTTACCCCTTGCACAGTGAGCTGAGAGCGGAGAGAGGTCCGAGCAGGCGTGCTGCAGAGCAGCATCATCCCTTGGCTGGAGGGAGACTGCTTTACTGTGGTGTGCAGGAAAGCTTCTCCCCCTGGTTTGGACCCTGCCAGCTGACCCTCACAAAGATGCACAGACCCAACAAGGCCCCAGAGGCTGTATCAGACACCCGTGAGCAAACTCGGGGCTCACAGCCATGGGGCTGAGCTCAGACCAGCCCCATCTCCAAGATAAGCCTCCCCACCTGCTGCAGCTGAGGGGTGCGGGGTCAGAAATGCTACTTACAGGGGTTGGGGCAGCTGCCAGGGATAGCCACGGCCTCGTTCCACTGGTCTGCGCTGGAGACGGAGTAGGAGCGCTGGTGCATGCCGTCTGGTTTTGAGCTGAAGCCCACCAGGTTGATGCCGCTGATGGAGCGCTCCGAGTGCAGGGAGGTACTGCTGGTCGAGTGGGGAGCACCTGTAAGAGACACATGAGTTTAGCATGGACCGACTGCTGCTCTGAAGCATGGTGGAGGAAGGAAAAGCTGTCCTGTACCTGATGCTCTGTATCAGGACAGGCTCTGTCTGGCTCTCCTCTCCCAAGGGGTGCCAGCGCATCACCCCCAAAGATGTGGAGAACAGAGCACTTGCCAGCACACACCACTTCCAGCATGATGGATTTCAGCACAGCACCCTGGGATGCAGAGCTAGACATCCTGGCACAGAGCTTCCCCCTCTAGCCAGATTTTGCAGCTGCAGTTCATGGTCCACTCACAATTTTCACTATAGCCTCAGGCAGCTGGACAAACACTAACTCACTCCGTAGCCACCATGCTCACCCTCACTCCTTAACTTCGTTCCTTGTGGGTCCCTAGCAGGAAATAGAACCCTGTTGTAGGCACGAGGATTGAATGGAAAATCACCCGGAGGACGGCAAATGGACATGCAGGGCAAGAGACATCTGTAAGGCGGGGATCGTGGGTGGAAATGCCTCTTCCCACTAGCTGGAAACCCCTGGAGCTGAGCCCAGGAGCTTGGACCCCCAAGAAAGGAGAGGTTTTGGGACTAGAGGCTGTCACAGAAGACAAGATTGCTCAGTGATTCAAAATGGGTCAAGTGTTTCTGGATTACAAGAATATCCAAAATTTTCAGAACAGTAAACAGAGCAGTTCTGACAGGGAGCAAAAATCTTGCTGTTCAAGGCTGCAGACAATCTGTTAAGGAGGATGATGCTGCCCCAGAGGCATTACCCTACACCTGCCCACTACAAGCACTTTCCTGCCTTCCCTTAGGGCATTCAGCTCCAGCCACGGCAGAGCAAGTGCTCTGGGAGCTAGGGGGCCAGCAAAGGGTCCCTTTCCCTATTCTGAAGCTACATTTCCTCCTTCCATGCCCGGAGGCACAGATGCTGAGCTGGGACTCCTGCACCAGCCCTTCTGGCCAGGGATGAGGGCAGAGCCTGTTGAATGGCTTTGACCTCGGCACGCCTGGCTGAGGAGATGTGCACCCACAACCTGACCTGTCCACTTGCTACAGCCCTGCCAGAGCCGACCATCCTGCGGCCATGCAAGGAGCTGGGATAAGAAAAACCCAGCAACTTGTTTAAGGGACTGGGATGTAAGTGGGATCTTTACACAAAAACAGGCTGGAGAGCAGATGGACACTTGCAGGAGCAGGTCCCCAGCTGGATCTGCTACAGCCAGGGCAGCTCACCAGACTGTGTCTTTACTGCATAAAACCAATCTCATTCTGGTCTCACAGAATCCCAGCGTGGCTGAGGTTGGAAAGGAACTTGTCCTGTCCAACCCCTGCTCAAGCACGGCCACCCAGAGCCACTTGCCCCAGGCTGTCTGGATGATTTTTGAGTATCTCCAAGGAGGGACACTGCACAACCTTGCTGGGCAATGTATTCTAGTGCTCATCCGGCCTCCACAGAGAGTAAAGCCCTAAAATATCCCAGGTGGAGTCCCAGATTTTGTACATAAAGTTACAGTTCTGTCCCTGCTGTTTCCACGAAAACCTAAGAAATGGGATTCAAATGTCACTACTGCCTGAGAGTTTCCTGAGGCTGCAGAGTGCCTGAAACTCAAGAAGCCCAAATTCCTCCCTACAAAAGGCAGATCCAAGGCGTGTGCTGAATGGAGGGGTGAGGTGGGCCATCAGCCTCGCACTAGGCATGTCTGCCACCAGTCAGCACCTTTCACTGCTCCCCCCCTTCCCCACGTACCCACCCTGGACCAAGAAACCCTCCTTTCTCTGCTGCACTGTGTTGGGGCTCTCTGTAGCCTTGCCTGCAGACCCTGCCTGCCCCAGCAGCATTGATGCAGAGCCCGCAGGGCCATGGTGGGCAACCCTGAGCTGACAGGGCCCTGCCTGTGGGGCAGGAGCAGCAGAGCTGCTGGCTCGTCTGCCTCCAGCACGGCTGCTGCACGCTCCCCCTCCCTCCCCTCGTTCAGCGCCACAGAAACACGTGTAAAACCATGACACTGACTTTGCCTCTAATTAGCCCTTAATTTACAAGACACACTCGGAAGGGTAATTAGCTGGCGCTCCGCTCATGACTGCCGCATCCATCTCCTCTTGCCTCCTCGTGGGAGGGAGCCTGCTGCCACTGGAGCAGGGACAACGCTGCTCTCCTGGGACCAGGAGGAGCTGGGTCCTGGGGACCGCACTGGTGGGCTGGGACAAGATGGGACGGGATGGAATGAGCTGCCCCCAGAGCTCAGGCAGTGCCTGCCAGCCCCCAGCCCAGCAGCACACACGGCACATGTCCATCAGCACAGCTGTGGAGGAGAGGGAGGCAAACAGCAGGAGCTTGGAGTGCTTGGAACAAGCTCCTGCTGCAGAGGAAAAAGTCCCGCAGAGCCCCAGGGAGCCCAGATTTGCCCCTTGCACCTCCACCCCTTGCCACAAACGCCCAAGTGCCTCAGCCCTGACCAGCACCAGGGACGTGTGACTGCCACCTCCCGAATCCACCAGCCTTGCCAAGCAGTATGAGCTGCAAAGCTGCTGTGCCGATTTGGAAATTTCGTTTTGAAATGAAATGATGCTGCTACAACTTCCAGGAACAGCTTTCATCAGCCTTCGCTGTCTCTCCAGGAGCTCCCTGCACTTGACACCAGCTGCCTGGAGTCACCCAGCTGCAGAGAAAGGTCCTGGCAGCCTGGCTGCTCGCTTGGCTCACAGACCTCTGGGCTGCATGATGACAGCTTGTCCCAGAGATCTGCAAGGGGATCGCAACAAGGTGAGAGATCTCAGGAATTGCATCCCATTGGAAGTTACACCACTGGCAGTTGCTGGGTATGCTCCCTTTAAATTAGGTGAACAAAGTGAAAGGTAAATAAAATACTAACTGCCTCTCTAAGCCAAAGCCTCCAGGAACTGAACTCTCCCTGACCCTGCTGACAGTCCCTCAAGCAAAGCTCTCCCAATCACTACGTCCTCAAAATGCCTCCCAAAAGAGAATCATGGAGACATGTTAGTGTGACCTCACCAGCAGGCAAAGCTTTGTGAAGCCTTTTTAAGGAAAGCCTAACTGATGACATGGCAGTAAATGGAAAATGACCTAAAACCAGAATGTCATCTTTCTAAGCATGAAGTGTGGCAGCCTGGCCACTTCAGTAAAACACCTGAATCTAAGTAAAACAGAAATTCTTCATTAAGGTGTGGATGCACAGGGAACTGGATGAAGGTGAGTTAGCAAAAAAGAGTACCATCAGTTGGGAAGGAGATAATTTGCAGCATCACTTGAGGATCTCTGCACAGATCTTTGGACAAATTTAGTATTTTCAATAGCAGTGTGGCAAAATAGTACATGGGTTTTGGTGTAATTTCCTGGTGACATTAAGTTGGAAGCATTGTCAGTATTTTGGTGATGAATATGGCACGCAGGACTAGATGATTTTGAGAAGTAAGCCAACAAAACCACACCAAAATTTATTTAGTCAAAATGCAAAGACATGTACTCCGGAACTAATGGGTCCGATTGAGAAAATCCTGAGAAAACATGTACTGTTTTCCATGGGATTTGGATTGCACCCTAATGGCAATGATGTACGAGGCTGGGGCTCTTTACTGGGAACACCAGAGGAGGAGGAGGAGGAGTTCTGCCACTATTGCCTCTCCACAGCACAACCGAACCACACCAACACCAAGGCTGGGAAATCGAATGTGATCCCACATGTGCAAGAAGAGGTATGGCTTGTGTAACTGGGAGATATGCACACTTCCTGCACAGAGCTGGTATGACACCTCCCCTAGATCTGCATGTACAGCCTACCACCTTGAGAAAAACTAATTCCATGTACAGAAAAGAAAGGTGACTTTCCATTAAGAATCACATAATCATCTCGGTTGGAAAAGACCTTGAAGATCATCCAGTCCAACCATTAACCTCACACTGACCGTTCTTAACTCCACTAGATCCCTCAGCACTATGTCAACCCAATTCCTACTAATCCTATTCACCCACCTGCCCACATCCTACAGTCTGCAGTCCTGAATGACTGCAGCCTGCCAGGAGTAGCAACACAAAGTGTATGGACATGTTAAGTCTCACATTTTTTTAATAGGAGTAATACAGAAATACCTACATTCTTGACATCTTGAGGAAAGGACTACTTCCTTCTCTTCCTTGAACATACAATAACCTGACCAGCACTGAAGAAATCAAGCCATGACAAATCAGCTCTTCCTCCTACCATCAGCACTCGACACCCACTTCCGCACCAGCTCCCGGTGAAGGCCGATATCTCCTTGATGCACATGTCCTGGGTGCTGAATGTCTGCAGTCTGGCCAGCACAGGAAAGAGAGACTGCTTCAGCGTCTCTCCTGAGAAAGGGGACAGGGTGCCAAGGACTCATCCTCCTTTGGCTAATGCACACAGCAGACCGCTATACAAAAATGTCTTCACACCTTCAGACCCCTGCCTGGTGATCACTCAAAGAAAGAGCTGTCTCTTGCTGGATTTATTCAACATTAAAATGTGGCCAACAGGAGAATGGTCAGATGGCAGCTAAATTCTGCTCTGTCTGTGTTTCTCCACACCAACTATGCTACTGCAGTCAGGATGGATTGGTTGGACGTGATGATCAGAATTCATGCACAGCAAAGTGAGCTGGGAGCAGAGGAAACACTTTGAGTAGTTTGCAGCTCCCATGAAAACTGAAGGCGCAGACTTCCGAACCAGTTGCTACTGTCTGGAGCAAGCTTCACCCTCAGTGCCTTCACTGGGGCTCTGTTCTAGCACAGCATAAATACTCATGGATGGGGTCATAGTTTTTACTTGAGCAGAAGACTGGGCCTCATCCTGTGGATACAGCTTGGCCTCAGTTCAGATTCTATCATCTTCCAGCTGGACTATCCCAATATGCTCTTCATCCGTGTACAAAGCCACTACTAGCACGGGCTGAGGCAGCAGTGGCAGGTGTCTTTGGAGAAGGTGAGAGGCTGGCTGGGTACCTCATCTCAGCTAAGAC